GCAAGCAGCACCACCTGGGGCTGCATCTGCTTACCTACCACCCTCATGCACCAGATGAGCCTCCTCAGCCCTCTGGAAGGACACCTGCCACCCTGCTGGAGATGGAAAATATCCCTTGTTTCTTTGTCCAGTCAATGCTGAGACTGCATCTCCAAGTCTCTCTGGACATCCTCACTGAGGAAGGTTACATGAACTCAAGGGAATCTGCATACAGCAGAGAAATTAGGACAGCCCCTGGCTTTAATATTTGCTTTGAAAAAAGACTAAGGAAGTCAAGCTTATTCTCAGCACTGGAGGGAAGATTTCAAGCTCACCCAGCCACAGCATTCAAAACCGAACAGAACAAGTGACTGACACAGTGAAGTACAGACTATCCAGTGGAAACTTTTCTAATTATAACACTGAAGAACTGCAGATTCTCAGGTAACACAGAAATGGTCTTGAAGCCATTTCTATGAACCCAAGTCAATCTTAGAGAACAGAATGGAGTTGCTTTGAATTATAGAATAGTTTGGATAGGAAGGTTCCTTCAAAGGCCATCTAGTCCACCCCCCCTGCAATTTATCTGATGCAGGGATATCTGATATACATCATGAACATGGTCTTGCATAAAGAACATTTTTACCTATTACCAAGACAACTCTACCTGCAAGTTGCCAGGTGTTTCCTATCTGCTTTATAAAAGACTTGAGCCCATTTCAGTCATTGGAAAGTGTGTGAAAGGGGCTGCATCCAGTCCTTCCTAGCCTTACATTGGCACTGAGCAGGAAACAGGTGAAGAGAATTTCTTCAGACACCAGGGTACCTGTTTCTGTAAACATTAATATAACTAGCACTTTTCTCCAGTTTAATTTACTGTGGAACAATCTAAAAGGCTTTAGCATCAATCTCTGGTAGGTATCACTGGGCAAAAGGGAGATTTTGGTGGTGTGTGCTTGGAACCTCAGCAGAAAACCAGAGCTCTCACTGTCCCTTCTCTTTTCACCCTGTTGAGAGCACACCATTCCTCCCTCTGCAGTGAGCTGAACCTGAGCATCGGCCAGGTGGTCTGAGCAAGAAGTCACAGCAGGGAGCAGAGTGACATAAACTGCAGTTTTCTGCAGATGAAGGCTGCCAGAAGACAACCAGTCAGTGCCCAAGCGCCTCAGCCCTACCTGCACCCTGTGCCCAACACATGGATGGGAAAGTGCCTGGGAACCCTACGTGCTATAATAAACCAGCAGACCCCACAGCACAAAAATGGAGAATCAGGCTGAACCAAGACAGTTCACCCCATTACTGAAAGGGATCTGGCATAAAGGGTGAAAGAAGAACAGAAGCCTACAGCTGCAGAACATTTCTCTAAAACACTGGATGCTGTAGGAGAAAGAAACCCTCTGCTTCAAAAAGAAGTCTTCCCCTTAATACCTGTGTGGCAGTCTGAGTGTCCTGAAACGTGGATCTTCCTAGGGCAATCACAAAACCAAGCTTTGCTTCATTGCTGTCCATGATAACATCTAGTCTGTCAGCACAGCTGATGTGTCAGATAACTTAATCCATCACTGAGCAGAGAGGGAGGCAAAGGAAATAATGCAAAGAGTAGAAGCAGCAATGAGTAAATGGACCATGCTATTTCATAAGCTAATGCAGTCGCTTAACAGATGGATCTGAAAAGAAAAATCACCATGCAGTCAAAATGATGCCTGGGTCTTTGGGAATATAAATGTTAAACCTCTCACTGTGTATGAAAACATGTCTATTAAAAACAACATCAGACAGAAATAATCTGTGCTATTTTCCTCTCAAATGCTCAAGGCACCAAGAAACAGAGCTGTTTGAGAAAAGTAAACATTTGCTTAAACATACCAGCCTAGTGAGTGACTCCAGTTTTAGTCTGTTCCTGCTAGACCTGATGGAACCCGATGAAGACAATTCTGCCTTCATCCTCGCTGCCCTGTTCAGGCACTTTACAGCAGCTCAGCAGAATATGAGCTCAGGACATGCTGCGATAATCCTTTGCCAGCCTCTGAGAGGTAGTAGGGAACTCTCTGTGCAGATAAAAAGCTGTGAATCAGCCTTTGCCCAAAACATACCTCTTGGCCTTCCTCTCCTATCCATCTCAGGAGTTCACCAGCACCTGTGGAACTCAGGCAAGCAATGGGGCAACAAATGCCAAAGATAGTTCTGAGTGGAAGAGCTGCAAATTACCTTAAAATTCATTGTTAACACCCTCCCCATCTTTTATCAAAAGGGCTATCTATATTAAGAGATTTTCAAACTGAGTGATCTTGCCTCCATGTTTGTTATAGACAATAAAGTTTAATGGTTTCTGGGAGGACTACTTCATTGCGTGACTGGCACACAGTTGTACTAGGAAGTCCACTGCAGCTCAAGGTTTTGAATAGATTACGATTACACACAGAAATCATCATGTGTTTGAGCATGGTATGTGGAAGTGTGGAGCAAAGGTGCTGAACGAGTACCAGGGGATGCTCTCTAGACTCAAACCAGTTCCAGAACTAGAAAAAAAACACTGTAGAGACAGATATAAAATGAAGGCACACCTACGGAGCTCAACTGTTTGCAGGTATATCAGCAACTCCAGCAGATGAAAGCTCTGAAAAAAAAGCCTGTCAGTATGGAAGACTTCATCCACCTCAACTCCTCTAAATAAAAGACTTTGGCAAGTTCAGATGTTACTTTCAGGGTTTGTCTCCACCTTGCCACACTTCTTACAGATGGTCCAGAGGTTTATTACAGCACACTGCTATAGCAACAAGGTGAAAGTACCCCAGAACAACTCAACAAGCAGTTCGATTTCGAAACTCGTGGGCCCTAAGCTTTGGGTAACGCATGCACACAGCACCCCCTACAGCTGCCAGGTCAGGACAGATCTGGAGTCAGGCAGTGCAGCTCCTCCTCCTAACTAGCCCCCGCGTTCAGACAAGAGGTTGCCTACAGTGGATCAGCTATCAGACAGCTTTGTCTTCCATCCCTATGCATGTATGCAACAGCACTGCTTGAATGTTAACCTGAGAAACTCTCCTAGAAGAGGTAATAAAACATGGAGAGAGCATATTCCAGCTACATCTTACAGCTCCCACTGCACAACCACCACTCTCCATTCCCTAAAGCATGCTTGCTGGTAGGTATGCTCATTAGATTATGGAAGTAATTATATTAGCAGCTCTGATCCCTCATCAATATGTTTTTTCAAGACATCATGCTGCTTATATTAATTGAATGAGAAAAATCTCTACCCAGTTTAATATGACTGCTTTGAATGCTAATAGCTAATTTTCCATCACTGCTGTTTCCTACTAAACATACATGCCAAAGGCCACTATCAGCTCAGTTTCCCTCCCCTAACCACTGAAACTGTTATTTATGCTTTTAAGTAGCAGAAATACCCTCTAAACTTGTAGTTGCTGTAAATAATCTCCAATCCACTATGGTATTAATTAGGCTGTTCCTATCAAACAGTAAAAATAACACATCAGTATTTCAAATGCTGCAGGACATCATTCCTTAAAAATTTCCTCAGCCTACTACCCATGCCTTACTTTTGCCCTTCTGCTTCTTCAATCCCAGTTGCCCCTGTTGGTCTAGCTAGTTCACTGCAGCCCCTGCTGCTTCCAGGCAGCAGCCCCTCAATTGGTATTTACCATGTATGACCCATCAGAGAAAGGCTTCCACAGGCTCAGAACTAGCAGCACAGGAACCTTCAACAGCTGCCAGACAGCCCTACTCCTCAGGAACCTAATGAAGCTGCAGGGGAACTGGGTTTTAACCCCACCCCTAATGCACATACCTGCTGTGCTGCTTCCCTCTAACAGCACCTGGGGATCACCTACTTCCATCATTAGGCCCAAGGTTTGAATCTGAACCTGCTGTCTGAGAGACTGCAGATTAATATATATTCCAGTTCTTCACAACAGCTCAATTTGAAGGGGCCATTTATTTCATTTGCATTGCCAGTGGGGTATACAAATGCTACCAGACCAGGACCTGCATGAGACATCTGCCGAGGTCTATTTGTGCATCAGATATCGCTCCTGACTCCCAGACTAATGGGCACAGCAGCCCGAGAGTGCTTTCTCCCTCCCTGCAGAACACTCACCACCATTTGACACCTCTATGTGTGCAGACATCACATGGCACACGTACATTTACACATAATTTTCACCCCTGCTGAGGCCAGATGTGTGGAGTCAACTGATTTGGGATATGGAAAATCAGAGGTACAGGAAGCAATACATCTTGGGGCTCTTGGCTACCTCTCTGGCATTAGAAAAATCTTTAGCTTCCTCCTGCTCAGTGGTTCCCTACTTGAAGCACATATGTGCTGTTCGTATTTCATTCTTCTCTGCAAAGCTGGAAGTTTGCCAAAGAGCATCCAGGGGAACGCTGCAGGATCTGGATGAACATCTGTCACCAAGTCTCTAGCCAGAAGCAGTCATTCCTGCTAGATGAACACATGACACAAGGGAAATGTCCAATTCCTCACAACAGCTGACATCCCTTTCCCCTCCTTCCCAGACTGCTGTCACTAAGATTCATGTATGGAAGAATTTGTAAAGCCACTGAATGACTCACCTGGGAAGGTGCTGACCTGTAACTTTTACCAGGCCAGCTAGAACCACCACTGAATCATGTTCTACTCTAACAGACAAACTGAAGAAGCCTTTTTGCAAACATAGTGCAGACTATACCTCTCCCTTTGGTCTAAAAACCAGACCCACTGTCAACCTTTTAGCACTCAGCTGTTATGTGCAGAGAGCTATACCCTCGTGTTGCTTTCTGCAGCACAGCAGCAGCCACAAGTCCCAGCTAAGCCCTTGTACTTCAGGGTGAAGCTATGACCATGAGGTCACAAGGTCTCCTAGCTTGAGGCTGCAGACACCTCTAGGTAAGCAATGATTACAAAGAAGCAATCTTGCCATCCAACTCCCAAAACCAGTTAGCAGATCCAGATACTGGCTGTTAAAGGCATGCGAAGAGAATTTCAGTCACCAGCTGAATTCATCTAGTACTCAGATTTTATTAAAAACAGGTTCTAAACAGTACAGAAATGACACTGTGCTGCAGCATCCAAGCTGCCCCTTCCCCACTTTATAGGCTGCCAATGATACATCACTAAATTTTCCTGGATAACAGGGGAGAGCCAAGACTTGAATCCCACCCTCCTTAACACAGCAGGCCATCCTTCCCAACTTGACAACTGCTCTCTGAGGAAAAGCTTCTTTACTTTTAATGGTTGTGGTAGGGCCGTATTAGCCGTCAGCCCTTAGAATGCAGCCCTTGGAGACAAAAACATCCAATTACATTAAACATGCAGCAAGTTCCAGAAACCATGACAGTTAAATGCCTCATACCAAGGGAAAGAAAAATGTAACACCCTCTGTCTGTAAGTTGGCAGGACACCAATCTATCACTCCTGCTAGCTCTGAGAAAAGACCAGAGCTGCTGGCAGGGTGATGTGAATGCTGTAGCTTGGACAAGTGATCACAGGCATCAGCATGGAGAGGGACATCATTAGCAGAAGACAGCTTTCTGCTAGTGCACTGAAATCACAGCAGGTCCCAGGACAACTTCTGACAAATCTCAACCTGTCAAGAAAACAGCCAACATTTTGTCAGTCCACTCTACTGCAAACAGTAAACATACAGCTTACAAACAGCCCCACGAAACTATACAGCAACGGTTTGCTGCAAACAGTAAAAACTTCTCTGCCAGGCACCCCAAATAGGACACACTTAAAACTGCAGGAGCTATTATAGTACTTGATAAAAACCTAGGAGAGCTGAGCAGAGAATGCCAGAATACTGTATCCGGTCAGCTCTACCAGCTTCACCACCTGACACAGACCACTTTTGCCCTACAACTTCTGAACTCAACAGTGCCATATAGTAAGGTCACATTTATACTCTTCATAGACAGAAGCTACTAAAAAGACTTTTGGGATACAATAGCTGAACAAGAGGCACCTAAACAGCAATACAAGGTTGTAACTGAATGAAGCCAGTGACAATAACTGCTTATCCAATGAAGTTCTGTTAAGCACATTTTTTCTAGAGCATTAGTGAAATACCAATCCAACACTTAAGCTTTCAGATGACACAATCACTGAGCTTCTACTAAAACCGAAACAAAAAAAAACTAAAACAAAGAAAAACAACTAAGGCAATCCTCCTCCTACAAATATACACACTGCTGAAAGCTGATTTTATCCATTCTCTGCAAGGCATTGAGAATCTTCTACTGGAGGAGGCAGGGGGGAAATATCAATAAAAGCTCCCTGGCTCTCTGTAAGAAGCACCTCATTTAAACACTGCTTAAATGGGGCAAAAAAGCTGCCCTTAAACTGAAGTCCATCAGAGCTCTCTGCCATTAAGATATTTTGAAAGTATTATTTTACTTATCCTTTTTTACACGTCAGATAGCATTATACAATCAGTGTTACTGTACGTGCAGACAGCACCCTCCAGTGCTGCCAACCGTTGAAGCACACAAGGTATTTCCCTGCAATAGAGGTGCAAGTGCATGTTGCCTCAATATACAGCCACATGAGGAACTGAAGCATCTTGCACCTATGGCGTCAATCAATCTGGCTAAAGAAGATACATCAGCATTACATATCTGGTGGGTTAAAAAAAACCCTTGAAGTCATTATAACAGATGCTCTTCAGCCAAACATTAAAAGGCAATCAATTACATTGTGAAAAGTTTTCATGTCTAGAACAAGGGACACACTATTATAATCCTTATAGGAAAGACAGCAAAAGGCAACTGGAGTATTTCAACAGGGACCGATATCCAGGTCCACCCTGATACTTAAAAGGGGCCCTCCACCAACAGTCACTCTACACATCTGTCACATCTCCAGGGACACAAACCTGCCAAAGCACTGCAAAGCAACTCCCTTCCAGAAGGGGGGGTGTGTGTGTGTCCCTTTATCTAAACCAGTGAACATAGGCGATCAAAGACTTACCATTCAATCTCCCCTGATGCAGGGGCTCATGTGGTCAAGCAAACTAGGCCACTGCCCTCATCACACAACTGATCACTACCAGCTACAGCCACCACATCTCGTCTCCCAGAGGCTCAATACCCCAGAGCCTTTGCAGCACCCTATAAATAAAAAGAAAAGGAACAGTTAACACCAGGCCATACCAGAGCTGTGGGACACAGCAACACTTCCCCACTGGTGCATCAGACACGATCTGGCTTGGAACAGCAAGAAATCAACACTGTCGCTCTGATGGGGAAAAAATTTAGTCATCATTTACACCAGCAGTCCCATGGGGTTAGGTGGCTGCACACCCACAGCAGATATGCCACCACACTCCCACCTCCTGTGGCAGATCTACAGGGAGGGAGTTAACTTATGGCAGAGGAAGGGACGATGCCATGCGTATGTACGGCCACCACTTGAGTGCTGAACATATGCAATTCCCTCACACTCCCTCAAGTTGACCAGCATGGAAAAGGGCAAAAAACGACCAACAGCATTTCTCTTCCAAAGGGACGCACTTCAGCCAGGGTGACTGCTTCCTCCCCCTTACTGGGGCAGCTACTCTGAGCAGCAACCACCCATAGGTCTCCATGCAGGGTGTTCTTAAAATGAGCTTTCTGAACAGAATCCATCAGGGACAATGGCACAGACCTGTAAACCACCATCCTGCTCCAGCTCAGCCTGTACCGATGCAGCTTGCAGATTCCTTGCCCTGCTGATTCCTGTTCACTAGCCACACCTGCCACGTTGGGCAGGTGGAGCAGGAGCAACACAAGGCACAAAGGACCCAACTGCTATGCTTCTACCCGAGGGAAACCTCTGTGCTTTTACTTCTACAATATCTAGGCTAATGCTCAAATTTACACATCAGCCAAGTCTCTAGGAAAAATGGAAGCAACTCCCTTGCAGAAAGGTGTATATTTAAATTTAATTTAACAGTTACTCCAAGGACTTACCATCCTTACTTGGTAGAGATTCAACACATGGTGGACCAAACCAAGCAACTACCCTCATCACATAACTGATCACTGCCAGCTACAGCCACCACATCTCGTCTCCTAGAGGCTCAACATCCCAAAGCCGTTGCAGCACCCTATAAATAAAACGAAAAGGAACAGTTAACACCAGGCCATACCAGGGCTGTGGGACACAGCAACACTTTCCCACTGGTGCATCAGACACGATCTGGCTTGGAACAGCAAGAAATCAACACTGTCGCTCTGATGGGGAAAAAATTTAGTCATCATTTACACCAGCAGTCCCATGGGGTTAGGTGGCTGCACACCCACAGCAGATGTGCCACACTCCCACCTCTTGTGACCTGTCTGCAGGGAGGGAGTTAACTTATGGCAGAGGAAGTGGCAAAGCCATGCACGCGTATGGGGACCACTGAATGCTGAGCAACTCCCTTTCAGAAAGGTATATCCCCCATCTTTCATTTTTTGTTTTATTCAATTTAAACCAGTGTTGAGTTACAACTCCAAGGACTTACCATTCTTACTTGCTACAGATTCAGCATATTGGAGTAAACCAGGCATCTGCCCTCATCACACAACTGACCACTACCAGCTACAGCCACATCTCATCTCCCAGAGGCTCAACACCCCAGAGCCTTTGCAGCACCCTGTAAATAAAACCAAAAGGAACAGTTAGCACCAGGCCATACTACGGCTGTAGGACACAGCAACACTTCCCCACTGGTGCATCAGACATGATCTGGCTTGGAACAGCAAGAAATCAACACTGTCGCTCTGATGGGGAAAAAATTTAGTCATCATTTACACCAGCAGGTCCCACGGGGTTAGGTGGCTGCACACCCACAGCAGATGTGCCACACTCCCACCTCTCCCAGCAGACTCATGGGCACTGAGTGAATTCATGCAAATCCTTCCCCAGAAAGCTGGTTGACTGGCATGTTTAACAGGCACATTGGATAGAGATGCTACAAAAATCCAGAGCAAACACACTGATATATGGAGCTTCAGCAGCAGAGCACAAGACAGATGTAAAACAGGAGGCAGGCAAGAGGTAAGAGATTACACACTCCTGCAAACCCAGCCTTTATGGCCACGTGAGGCTTCCACCTTCCAGTGCAAAGGCAGGTCAGCTTGGCCATGAACACAGTACGGGTCATGCAGTGAACACTACTACCAGCAAGGGGCAGGGCAGGAAACCTGCAGCAGCAGCCCCTCCTCCAAGGGCCCACTGCAACCAGCCCAGCTCTACCCCATGCCAGGGCTGCAGCAGAGCACCCGCCTCCAGCATGGCCTGGTCCCCAGCACACTGGCCTCAGGGCACTGACCACTCAACTTCCCAGGCTGTGGACTTCTTGACCCGGTACCTTGCACATAACAGGAGTGAGACAACACAAAAAGGGCCTAGTGGCAAAGCTTTTGCAGGAAGAAACCCTCTCAGCTCCACAGAACATATGCTAGTTGTCACACCTACACATCTATTAACAGAATCACGTTACCATTAAGGCTGGAAAGGACCTCTAGACATCATCTAGTCCAATCCCCCTGCCAAGGAAGGGCCACCTACAGCAGGTTACACAGGAACATGTGCAGGTGGGGTCTGAATGTCTCCAGACAAGGTAACTCCACAACCTCCCTGGGCAGCCTGTTCCAGTGCTCTGCCACTCTCAGTGTAAAAAAGTTGTTCCTTATGTTATGGTTTAAACTTCTCATGTTTTAGCTTATCACCACTGCTCCTTGTCCTGTTGCTGGACAGCACTGAAAGGAGTCTGGCACCATCCTCGTGGCACCCACCTGAAATACTCATATGCATTAACAAGACCCCCTCTAGACTAAACAGGCCCAGGGACTAAATGTCACCAACGACACCAACCTGACAAAGCACTGCAGAAACAGCTCGTTAAGTTTTGGAAAAAAAACCCCAAACCAACAACTTAAGAAATACTTATTTTTAAGCCAACGAGGCAGTTACTTTAAGGACTTACCATTCCCCCCTGCCAGAGGCTCACGCATGTCAGAGCAAACCAGGGAACTGCTCTCCTCGCACGCCTGACCCTGAGGCATCAGATCTCTTGGAGGCCCTGCGAGGGAAGCCAAAGGAACTGTAAGAACTGGGTCTCGCACCTGCCTAGGGCACAGCGGTGATTCCCACTGGTGCATCAGACACGACCTGACTAACAGTGAGAAGACAACACTGCCGCTCTCACGTTAAAAACCCGTCACCACCGAGCCCCGGGCCCGCACCGCGCTCCCGCCTCCCCCGGCAGGCCCAGGGCAACAACCAACACCTCCACGCGAAAGGCGGCCGGGCGATCGCTTACCCGGAAGCGCCGCAGGAGCGCGGAGCAGAGCCCTTGGGGACGGGGCCCCAGGGGCTGAGCAGGAAGAGGCGGCCATGCCACTAGGCCTCACCGCTCCCTCAGAGGGCGGGCAGGGAAATAAGACCGGCCGCCCTCTGAAGCCCGCTCTGGCAAGAAGAGCTATAAGGAAGGCGCAAAAACAAAACGCCCAAACCCACCAGCCCTCCGAGCTCGCCCGAAACCCATCCACTACCGCATCCTACCTCAGCCACGCCGGAGCAAAAGGACGGAGAGTTCCGCGCGAGGCACTTTATAGGGTCCTCGGGGCCCGCCCCGGCCCCGCCCGCGCCGAGGCAGGAGGCCGGGCTCCGGCGCCATGTTGGGCGGTGCCGCTCGGGTTGCTCTCGGGTTCGGTTCTGTTTTGCCCTTTACTTTTCTGACCCTGTGGTAGAGGGTTCCGCTCCTCGGGCAGGCCGTGGGCAGAGCCATCCGCTGCCCTCTCCGTCAGGCTCGGAGCTGGTGACGGGGTCCTGAGGTGTGCTCGGCACTGGGGGCGGCCGCTGCCGCCATTTCGCGGCGAAGGGCAGGACGGGCGAGGCGCGTGCTCGGCCGCGCCGCTGAGCCCTGGCTCCGCTCGCCTCATGGCGGTGCGCGCGGGTCGTGCCCGCGCTGTGTGTGAAGAGAGGGCCTGATGCCGGATTAAACGAGTGTTTCGTTGTGTATAAAGATATAGACAAGGCTACAAGATAAGGCGTGCAGCAAGATGACCACGTCTTCTTTAGAATTGATGTGGGCCTTCCATCAATAAGGCCCAAGAAATAGGTAAACAGCTGCAAGAGGAAACAGCTAAAGGAGCTTCTCGTAAACTAGCCCGTTTGTAATTGTAGTTAATTGGCAAGACTTCCAGTGTCCTTAACTAGCAGAATTCCATAAAAGGATAAAATGAGTAGGGGTATTTCTCAGCAAATGACTCCCAGGGACCACTCCTCAAATTTACAGGGCCTGTGTGCTATGGCCTTAGCTACCAAAGTTACCATATGCAATGAATAACAAGAATAGGGTGGACATTTTTTGGAATTACGATTAATATGTATATAATAAAGGTATATAAGCTGTAAAATGTCTCTTCTGGGTGTGCATGGTAGGTGGAGTGATCCCCTATGCACCTCAATACCGTAAAAATGTCAGCTTTCTAACCTATCGGTCTCATTAGAGAGTTTATTTCCCAGATTTTGGTGACAGGGTGAAGGCAGGTGGGTGCAGCCATGTGCCTGTCCCTGCACTTGGAGTTGGACCCTGTGGCTGCAGCCTCCCACCCAGATCTGGCACCAGCACCGCAGGGAAGCCTTGGCACCATTACAGGCACACGGGATGTCACACTGCATGGGTGCCTGGAGACAAACCGGTGCTGAGTGCACCCAGGCTTGTGGCATCAGTACATGTAATGTGTTTTGCTGGGATGAGCGAGTGTAGCTTTGGAAGTTAATTTTCTTTTTATTTTCCTCTTAGAAAGAAAAAAATCCAGCTTCAGAGATGTTTAGTGACTTGCCTAAAGGCACGTGCAAGTGCAGCGGCAACATCAGGCCTGTGATCCAACCTTATTCCAGAACAGGAGCTCCCAAACAGGTAACTGAAGGACTGCCAGTTTACACCACTGCTCCTCTCCCAGTTAGGCTCCTGCTGATGTGCGACTGGTTCTGCTCCGGTTTGTGTCACTTAGGGGATGCCCGCTGTGCAGTTTGGGGAGCACAGCACAGCAGCAGTTAACTTGCTTTTAGGTGGCAGTTTATGTCTTGTTAAACAGGTTGCCACCGAGTAATGTGAGGAATGGAACAGGCAGCAAAGGATGTATTTTGAATGAGAACAGCCTGGCTTGTAACCCAAGCACTGCTGTGTGTTGCGATTTTATAGCTGTAAATTCACCTCGGAAATGGGGCGTGAAGGTCAGCCAAGCACAGTGTTTATCCTTCACCAGGGGTCGCTGCATAGTAGAGGGTGCCACTGTATGGTTCAGAAATGTTCTCCAGCCGTAGGCCCCCCTCCCAGCACCTCCTGGGGAACACAGGAAATCTTGTCACTAGAGTAAGACTTACTAAAGAGATGGG